TCACCTGCAGTTTTGCAATGTCATCATCTAAGATGCCCTTCTAGATCACTGACGTCTTCAGGTGTTCCTGGCAAAGCTGGCAGCAACCTATTGTTATACTTAATTGTAGGAGGAACGGTCACTGGGACAGGAGCTTATGTAAGATGCTTAAATCAATGTGTTTTAACTGGGGTGAGAGGGTGGAGGGAGGCTGCTGTTCTCTGTGTCATACCAATCCTTTCACAATTCAAAAGATATCAATGGACAGTTGTGTCTCAGACTGTCTTGATGGGGTTTTCTTTCCTCTTTTATCAACAGTGCAAAATGAAAGTTGATGTTGTGCACGTGTGAGATGGATTATTATCAAGGCTATTTTTGCCTTAAAAAAAGTAGTTTCCTTCCCTCTAATTTGCTAACTGTGGGATAATTATAGTGTGACCTGCTTCCAGCAGTCTCATCATCTTTTTGCTTCCCTGCATTACCAATTTTTCTTGGAAATTAATGTTGATATACAGATTAAAAGACGTTCCCTCCTTGTCTATACCATTAAATTGTATCTCCAGAACACTCAGGCTGTGCTTACGCTGTCTCCTGAGTTTAACAGAGAAATAAACACAAGGTCAATAGTCAGGAATCTGTTCCAGCTGGAGGCTGTTACCTAGAACAGCCACGCTCCTGGGTCTGAAAGCACCGCTGACAGCAGCGATGTTAACACCCTGCCTGTGACATCTGGCCTAAAGAAAGCCAGTGAGGCTCTTTATCCAGCTACTCTGGGCTTTTGGAGCTGGGAATTGCTTTTTACCTTGAATTTGTCTTCCTTTTCTGCAGCCTTTTGTTGTGCTGGGGGCTATGAATGGCCTTTTGGGCTTGGTTTTTGGCTCCATTTCTTTTGGTGTATCTGGTTCCTCTCGAAACAGGTTTGCAGCCCAAAGGCCAAACATCTGCAGAAAGGTTGGTTGGTTCCTTCTGGAGGGCAACCAGACAACTGAGATCCATCAGACCATACCTAGAGCAGGTTGTTTGCTGAGTGCATCCCTCTTTTTGCTGTATATACATAGTTTTTACAGGCAATTTTTTCAGGGAGGTGTATTTTGGTCCATTAATTGAAAGCAGATAGTTTTTTCTGAGCAAGCAGGATGGACAAAAGCCTGTTGGGAGGAGGGATTAGAAGCAGAATGATGCTGTGAGATACACAAGGTCAATATCTCCTCCTCTATCTCCAGCTCTACAGATCATTGAGAGAAAACAAAGAGCGATTCACCAGCCGGGTCTCGACAATAACTACACGGTCGCAAGAAAAAGAGTCATCCCCTTCTGGTGGGTATTAACCTGCTGGTTCCAGGCTTGGGTCTTTCATCAGCTGCTAACTCCAGGCCTCTAAAACAAGTGGAACAGAGCCCTTCTGAAAACACAGATGAGCATCAGCCTTGTCTCTTCTCGGTGTGTTCTGTTGTCTGTGAATTCCCATGCCTTGCTAGCGTGGTGCTCTCTTTACAACAACAAGGCTCAGTTTGACAGCTCATGGTGAGGATAATGTAGGTTGTCTCTCAGGGCTCCTTCCTGCTCTTTATGTGGTAAAAGGAGAAAAGAGTTAGCCCTAATTTTGGCTTTTACCCTTAACACAGTCTGGCAAAAACCACTGTGATTCCAAAGATATGATCTGCCTGTAGAAAATCCTCTGTGCTGTGCCACGTCCCTGTCCTGTGAGTATCATGCTTGGGCCACTTGTAGAAGAAGAAATCAGGACAATTAGTGAGGCTCTTGATGATGCTTTGCAGGTTGTGTGTGGACCACAAGTCACTCACTGAAGGTCTGTTTTAATTTATGACATCTCAAACTGTGGTATCCAAACTACTGAGCCACAGGATGATATATTTTGTAATAACAGTGTCTTTAGGTCACTGTTTAGGTGTGTTAGGGTGTGTTATGTCACGTCACTTAGGAAACCAACAGAAAGACTATCCTGCAGACAGGACAGAAAACTGATTGCTTTGGTTTGAGGGAGAGGATAAAACATGTTTGTCAGGGTTGAGGCTGGAGGACAGAGAGTGAGAGCCTAAATGCTGAAGCAGAGGGCTTGGTAAGTCTGTATTTCTGGAGGCTCTGTCCCTTCATAGTGGAGAGCCAGTTAATCCCGTGGTCTCCTTGAGTCAGCCCTGAGCTGCAGCTTCCTGACTGCAGTATCCTTGATAGCCTGTGCTGAGCTGAATTAAAGTCAGTGTCTTCTCTTTCAGATACAGCTGCTGCTTCTCAGGGCACAGCAGGTGAGTCCTGATGGTAATATTTCACTGACTGGTTTATTTTACAAGGGCAGGGAGTGACAGAACAACGGGTGATGGAGCTGAGATGTGAGGGAGAAATTGTTTGGTGTGAGGGTGGTGAGACAGTGTCCCAGGTTGCCCAGAGAAGCTGTGGCTGCTCCTCCCTGGAAGTGTTTGTGGCCAGGTTGGATGAGGCTTTGAGCAACCTGGTCTAGTGGAAGGTGTCCCTGCTGATGAACTGGATGAGCTTTGAGGTCCCTTCCCACCCAAACCAGTCTGGGATTCCTACATATGGTTTAACTACATGTTGCTTAGAAACAGAACCTGCACATGGGAGGAAATGCATTCTGGTAGGAACTCAAAAGTTGGTGACCTTTCAGAACACAATTAGAGAAAAATACACCTTGGCATTTAAAAGGGAACTTTAATTTCTTATAAACTATTCACTGAACAGCCCCTGCAGAGTTTTGGTCTTGCTCACAAGTTGATCTGTGTTCTTAAAGAAGACATGCAGCTCGAGCAAACACTTTGCAGTTCATATTTCCCAAATAATTTTGAAAACTGTTTTCTGACTTGAACAACACCCAGCCTGTGTCTCTTTTCCTGATGTTTTGAAAAATCTGCTGGCTCAGCAAACTGTCCCTTGCTGTAAAACCTGAATGTAGGATCTCTAGTGCGTTGTTTGGCCAGAGCAGAGGCCAAGCATGATTTTGCTTTTCTGAATCTACTGCACAGAGAATGTCCTGAGCTTATGTGAAGCTTCTGAAATGCTGGAAATGAATTTTGTGGGTCTTTGACTTTGCAACCCCTTCACCCAGCTCTGCAAATGTAAGCAGCATTCTGAAATGGATAGATTTATACAATGAAGCTCTTGGAGAGTCTGCTGGAAAAGTAGCATCTATTCAGAGTAAGGCTTAAAACCTGTTAACAGGTTGTCCAAAGAGTGGTATTTGTTGTGGAGATCATTCTTCTTCTTAACATCTTAAACCAGAGAAAGGAGATCTGTGACAGAGGAGCTAAAGCCATGTGACCTGTTCCAAAACTCCATTGAGCTCAGCTGTGCAGATCTAGCTTAGAAACAATAATTTGCTGACGTCTGACAGTTTGATTTATGCAGGGAACCAGCTTTGGGTGAAGCAGCAGCATGGTTCTTGGGAAGTACATTGGGGTGGAAGGGAAAGGAAGGGGAGGAGAAGGTATTTGAAGGGCAGTTTGCCAAATGAAGTCGGTATGTGAAAGGCATCTGGTGACATACTCTGTTCTTTGGGGCTGGGCTCTTTTCCCTGCTGTATTTTTAGTAAGCTCTCCAATCTGTGACCCACAGGAGCTCACCCTGAGGTCCCATCTCACGTCCCTTTCCTAAAAAAAAGCTGATCGGTGGAGGAACTGCTGCTTTTGCTGCTGCCAGATCCATTCGGGCTCGTGACCCTGGTGCCCGGGTAAGAGATGCCCTGTTCTAGAGCAGAGCTGTGTGGATGACTGAAGACTCTTGATTGCTTCAGCAAATGTTTAACACACAAAGCTGATGTGTTTAATGACCAATTAAAGGTGCTGATTGTGTCTGAAGATCCTGCCCTGCCCTATATGCGTCCACCTCTTTCCAAAGAACTGTGGTTTTCAGATGATCCCAACGTGACAGAGACTCTGCGATTCAAACAGTGGAATGGCAAGGAGAGGAGGTACCTGTCACTTCTGGGGAGTGAGGGACAAAGGAGAGTGTTTAATGAAGTTTAATGAGTGGATGGTGATCAAACTGTTCCTGTGAGAGAGCCATTGCAGAGCTCTGAAAGACCCCAGAGTGCTGTGTGGTCAAATCACTGGGTAGATTTCTGTGCTCAAGAGAGCCCTGGGCTGTGTGTCTGTCTGTCTGTCTGTGTGCATTGTCACTGGGCTGATTGAAGAAGGGATGGAGGGTTGCATGTTGTCTGCAGAGCTTGTGTGGTATTTTGCACCCGAGTAGGTGACCAACTGCTCTGTGGAGCCCACAATGTAGGCTGTGGATGATTCCCAGAGGTGCTGAGATGTGACACACGAGTCACTTGAGCACTCAGGAGCAGACTGAAAGGTGTGCTAGTGCTGGCAGTTGTCAGGAGTGCTGTTTCAAAGTTACCTTGGTACTTAATACCTCTTGAATATCCTTTAGATATACACCAGAAATCCCGTGAAATAAGTTCATAGTAACTGTATAGTTACTGTAACTCTGTAGTAACTGTTTAGTAACAGTTTAGAGCAGAGCTCCAGAGACCCTGGCTTGGATTCTTGTGAGTTTTACTGATCTAAACCCTTGAACTTCCACAGTGTGAAGACCCTAATTCTTTAAAAAACCAGATAAATAAGAATTCTCATTACAGATGCATAGAATTGTCTTTGTATCATTGCTAATTGCTGAATAACTGAATAGTATCGCAGAGAAAGTGGAACCTGTTTGATAATGGAGCTTTTTTTCAGTATCTATTTCCAGCCACCATCATTCTACGTGCCTGTGGGTGATCTGCCCTTTGTAGAAAATGGTGGAGTAGCAGTTCTCTGTGGCAAGAAGGTGGGTACAACACCAGCTCGTTGTTGTTTTAGCATCAGACAGTTCTACCCAAGCAAAACCTGTGCTCTGAGCTGAAAATACACAACTGCAGCTGGGGCTGAGGAGGGGAACGTGGAAAAGTGTATGTGATGAAGCAGGGACTGTGTTAATTTTAAGGACAGCATGAGAAGCTGTAAGGAATAGTAGTGAGATGGAGGAAGATGAGGAAGAGGGAAGGAGAAGTTTAGAGTTTGGGCATGGGGTGGGAATATGAAGTGTTTAAAGACAGGGTGTGACAAAATGGGAAGTATTTATCCATCAGAGGGGGAGGTGAGGAGAGCAGTGGGTTATAATGGGAGCAAGAGCATTGTGCAGAGGCAGCAGGAAGGTGGAAAAGTTTATGGTGAGGCTACTAAGATACTTGCTTCCTCAGCTGTTTTTTCTATATGTTGCTAAAATAAGATTTCAATGACTCCTCTTACTGCTGAACTAGGTGTCTGAGTCCATTTTTTAAGTCCTGGGAAGATCAGCCTGATCTCTGATGGCTGCCAAAGAAGTTGTCCCAATTCTTACTTCCCGTCTTTTCCCCGCTCCCACCCCCTCTAAATTTAAAGGTGGGAGAAGGTTACCTCCAAGTTTGCTTCTCTAAATGAATATTCTCTGCAGTTTAACTCAAATGACCTGAAGTGCCCTGTAAGCTTGAGCTCTCCTGCTTGTTTAATTTTGCAGGTTGTGCATATGGATGTTCGAGGCAACACAGTGAAACTCAATGATGGTTCCCAGATATCCTATGACAAGTGTCTCATTGCCACTGGTAAGTTGTTGGGTTGGGGTTTTTTTCCCTCTTTGTTCTTTGCTTTGTGCCAGGCTTTTTATTTCAGTGCCATTAATCTGATGAGGAAGTTCCTGCAGTAGGTGTCCAACACTTGGTAGAGCAGTCACACGAAGGACAGTCATCCAGACAACCGTGCTGTTGGGTTGTCACACGTCAGCCAGCTTCTCTAGGACCTTCACAGTTTTACCCTGTGAAAATCAGCAGGGAAGGAGGAAAAGGTGACTTCTCTAGCAGCTCAGTAAAGGAACTCCTGTGCAGACTAGCAGCAAGCAGAACCAGCAGCCCTTGCTGGGGCAGAGACTGCTCCAACACCTAACCCTAGCAGTTCTACAGCTCTCTGGGGTTAAAGTGGAACTGGCTGTCTCCAGGCAGTGGAGCAAGGTGTAGAGCATTAGATATTTTTCCCATGGGTGACTGTTGGGTCACCTACTGCTCACACAGAAGGTCTTTCATGTTAAAAACCCAGAGAGCGACAGGGAATTGAGCATATTACAGAGTTACAGCAGCACAGAATGGCCTGAGTTGGAAAAG